CTATTTACGTTGTAAAGAAGCATGTTTAGTTGAATAAAAATTACTCGGCAGAGTTTTGTTCTTTTAGAATGTTCTCAAGAATCAAATCCTTGATTTAGTTGTGTGAGGAATTACATTTCTAATTCAAGAAGCCTTGTCAAGCTTTTCTGTGAGGATTCCAGAATCGATTAACAAGTTTTCTTATCAATCAATTAAACACCTTGATTGTGGTGAAATTCTACCTATCCATCATCTATCGTTCGAGTGTTCTTGGTTGCATATTCTGATCAAACAAAGCACCCCCTGGAGCATTATCAAGTTGTATCAGAGCCTTGTTCAAGTTAGTAGCGAGAAATTTTGAACGCTCAGTTTCGTATGAAAAATCAGCACGAAAACATAGCACAATGGCATCCGAGGAGCTAGCACGTTCGATGGTATTCACGCGTTGTTCAGCCCAATAGAAAACGTGTTTGGTTCTTGTTGATGGAGGCAGGGAGAGGAATTTGATTTCCTCTAGGACTATGAGCAAGCTAGGGGTGCAAACACGTCCACTTTCAAAGTCAAACGCCTTTTAATCTCCATACGATGGACACTCAATTTTGTATTCTCCCAAGTTGTTGTGGAATTTTCGATCGGACAATACGAAGACTAGATCATTTGCGACGTGGTTTACAATCTACCCAACCACATCGTGTTGGGGTAGCCTTGGTTTAGAAATCTCAAGGTGGAGCTAGTTAGGCAAAGAAGCAGAAAGTTCAGAGTCAGGAAACGTAATAAAATTCTCGTATTGAATCCATTGCCTCCAAAGGAAGCTGTTGGTGACGTAAAGGAAGTCCAAAGACTCCAGGAGTTGTACCATCAGGCCTTGTGGTCACAGATTGTGTTGCCAAAAAGGAAGAATGATCAAACTCTGCTCGGCAATAAACCCCATGTTTTTCGCCACAAAAACAGAGCATCGACGTCGGGTTTGCTGTAACGAGGAGGAAGGAGATTCGGAGCCCGACACGACTCGAAAAGAGTCTGTGGAGCTTGAAGGAAGGACTATAGAGTGAGGTGAAGGGTCGGAGAAGACTGTTGACTCATGAATCGAGTCGGCGACGCAAGCAGCAGGGTGTCCAAATTCTCCGGCAAAACAAAGCCCTTCGACGGCTCTCGCTGCTGGACCAACCAACGAAGGGTCGACCTTCAAAACCTGTGCCGACGCGATCCACACGACCCTAGAAACGTCAAAAGTTAATTCATTGGAAGTGGTTGTGCCTGAGTTGGAAGAATCAAAGAGCCCTAAAACCCCTCTGTTTGTGAAGAATGCCGACCAAATTCACCCCGAATTGGTTGGAGAAATCTGGCACGATTCGAGCCCAATTGGCGCTTCATAATCATTCACGGAGGTTCCAGAAATGTGTATGAACGTTCAATTTGACACGCCAATGCTGAAATCAAGAATGCCCAATTTCAGTTTGGAGTCGCCGATTTCTGGAATTCCTTCGCCGAATTCTAGAAATTTCGAATCCTCCGACGGTGGGAAATTCGGAGCTCAACCATTGGAGAGAATTGGGGTGATTCGAAGGATGGGAACGGATGGGATCAACTCCTGGGATCCAGGTGAGCCGATATGAGCGGTGAATTGGAACAAGAAAACTCCGAGACGAAACGCCCAATTTTGGAGCCCTTGCCGGAAAGCACGAACTCGCCGAAATCTGGAAAGTTTTCGTCGTAGTTCGAAAATGTGCAAAATCCGATTTGGGGTCCAAATTTTTTGGGCAATGTCTATTTTTTACCCAAACCTTTTCCAGATTCTTTTATTTTAACCAAACCTATAGAAATTCTATTTATTATCCAAACGTATTATAATTTATCAAAGTCTGGGCATTCATTCTATTACCGTTACTTATTTTGTCCACGTGAGAGGTGGGATTTTGTTTTGTTTTTTGATAATATTTTTATTAAAAATAGTAAATGATGGTATTCTGACCGCCACGTAGGAAGTCAACTCATTATGGTCATACTTAGTCAGCATTACTAATAGAAAAGTTGACGGAGAATTAACGTTTGTAATTTTTAGGAATTCAATAGGTTTGGTTAAAATAAAAGAATCTGAAAAAGGTTTGGGTAAAAAATAGACATTGCCCAAATTTTTTCATTGATTGTGTGGAAGGTGATCCATGGAGCTGCATGATGCGGTTGAAGCCGATCGAAGCTGAATTTGAAGCTGCCAAACTTATGACGAAGATTGTGTTTGAGCAGCCGTCTTTCGATCCAATTTGGGATCAATTCTGTGAAGTTTTTGAAGTAAAGAAGGCTCAATCTTTGAGGTCAAAGCTACACGTTTAAATTACTTGACGAAGAAGTTATCAAAGTTGGGAAGAAGGGCAGAATTTGGTTAAGCATTGGAACAGTTTCTGGTAGCCTACTTTGGAATCTTGTATCTCCCAAATGGCTCAATGAAAATTGGATATCAAGGGATTTTTTTGAAGATAAAGTTGCCATTTTTTCAATGGTATGCTTTTTGGATCCAGATGAATTGATTAAGACCATTTTCCAGACGTCCCAAGTTTCTATCAAGAAAGCTAAAAACTACCTGAAAATGACTAAGGCGTAAAAGTGTTTTGTGAAGCCTACTTTGGAGCTCAATTCGAGTAGAATGGGTCGGATTCAAGTCCAAACGCTTCCACAACATGAAAATAGGTATGTTTATCGACAAAGGGAAGGCATTGGTTGAAAGATTGGAGTTCAGGAAGGCGTCGAACGAAAAGTACGAAGTTAGTACGAAAACTGTTTTCCTAGCAATTTCCTTGTGCTAAAAGGCAGCTTACTTGTGCTTCAAGAAAGAAAGTTTGTGGCCAAATTTTGTGTTCTTTTTAGGATTTGTTTTTACCTTAATTGTTCCTAGTTCCATTAGGTTGTATTAGGTTTTCTTTGCCTTTAAATACCTTTCTATTTACGTTGTAAAGAAGCATGTTTAGTTGAATAAAAATTACACGGCAGAGTTGTGTTCTTTGAGAGTGTTCTCAAGCTTTTGTGTGAGGATTCCAGAATCAGTTAACAAGTTTTCTTATCAATCAAGTAAACACCTTGATTGTGGTGAAATTCTACCTATCCATTATCTATCGTTCGAGTGTTCTTGGCTGCGTATTCTGATCAATCAAAGCACCCCCTGGTGCATTATCACCTTCGAACCTCCCATTTTCCCTAACTTTCTTCATCATCATAGAGATAACTTCCATAATCACCAAAGAGCCCCGAGGAAAGAGGATCCCTCTGCCGCAAACCTTTAGATACCGAGAAAAAACCGTTAGCCTCTCCATTAACTAGAATAGATATGTTAGCCGAACACATCGAACCCTTCACCCATCTACTCCACTCCTCCGGGAAACCCATAAATCTAATAATTTTAATAAGGTAGCCCCAGTTCATATAATCGAACGCCTTCTCGATATCCAATTTAAACATCAGCTCGAGTTTTCTACTCTTTCTTCTGCTATCCACAATTTCATTGGCCAGAAGACCCGCCTCAACAATCTGTCTCCCTTTTACCGAGGCATGTTGTAGCTAAGATATCAGCTTAGGAAGAACCCCGCTCAGCTTTCTAGAAAGGACCTTGTTTATTAGTTTGTTAATGCTACCGATCAGATTAATCGACCTCAGGTCCTTGATCTCCTCTATGACTTCCTTCTTAGGCGCCAAATAAAAGAAAGAGCGAGTAACACTCCTAGGAAGAACTCCGCTCCCATAAAACTCATGGAAGGTACAAACAATCACCCATTTCAGTCAACCCCAACATTTCTTGAAGAATTCCATAGTAAATCCGTAATGCTTTACTTCCACCACACTCCTTAATGCTCTCCCATATTTCGTCCTCCGAGAATGGACGTCTCAACATCAAAGTGTTTATTGTTTAGCCCATATATGAAAAAGTCGTTATATTGTTCATAAATTTCTAAATCATATCAAATCTCATCTAACATATAGGTCATATGTTATGTTATATGTAATAACATATAACATTACACCAAAAGAAAGTTCGTACTTGGATCCAACATATAGTGAAAATTCAAACACTCATATAACATTAATATTCAAATGTTCAATTTAGAAAACCAAAGATAGGATTAGGCGAAGGAGAACACCAAAAAAGATGTGCAATCCGCAAACCAAAAGGGAAAATGATGTTATATGACCTCCAACACGGGAATCTTGTTGCAGGTTGAACCGCGAGTGTGTGGCGCCCATTTTCCTCACCCTATCCGAGTCAATTTGGAGTCAACCTGCAGATAACAATAATGGTAATTAATAGACCCCATACTAATATACAATGCCCGATTTTAATGTATTTTTATTAGTTATTTTGTAAAATAACTTTTTTATTATTGTTGTAAATTTTGTCTGGACATACATACGACTCAAGTGAATCCCGATCCCCTATTTTACATAATGAATGTGTATCTTACGTTGTTGTTAAAAAGGCACAAGTGATGATCTATAACGCCAATTACCACCATTTTGGTAATCAATGGTCTACATGATTTTGATATAAGTTAACGATCTACATTCATTTAAATTGCTTAATTTGAAACTATACCCAAATTATTCTCAGAGATCCCTATAAAATTAATAAACACTCTGGAAAGAAATTGGTATATATTGTGTGTTCTTCTGAGTTTATTGAGTTAAGCGGCGGTGTCAAACAGAGTCGAAACAGAGGACTCTGACGGAACCCACTCCTTTTGATCGTCAATTTTTGCGTCCACTGTCTCTTCAAGAACCTCTTTAGCGGTTACTAGTCTGGGTATGTGTCACGAAGGCGGCCAGTTTGCGGAAGCAGTGGAGGAAAATGCTCTTTTTAGTGACTATGATTCCCGCCAGCCTGCTGACCTCGCCAACCTAGCATGAGCTGCATTGCCAACGTAGCAGGAACAATTTTTTTATTTTTTATTTTGAGATATCAGATATGGTTCTTATCTTCTTATCCGCTCTATATATACAAGATAACAGGTCGAGAGCTCTTGACCATGCACAACAAAATGGTTCAAACTAATTATAGTACTCCTCCTACCGATTGGTCACAAGAAACACTAATAGCAGCCGCCGACGAAGAAATCCCGACGATCGACTATTTCTCCCTCTTCTCCGATGACCCTGACCGGCGTTCCACAGCCCTGGACTGCCTCTCCACAGCTTGTGAACACTATGGCTTCTTCAATGTACGTATGTATGCTTAATTATAGATTCATACACACTTTTAGTAGTATTGAGTTTGGGTCATATTTGGTTCAACTCGTTTGGGTTAGACCCAAATGAGTCTAATTGTTGGATCTAGACGATAGTATATACAAAAAAATTAATATCAATAATTCCATTAACCACATTCAACCGAATTATACGTCTTTAATGCATGTATGCTTCCAGAATTTGAGTGATTGGGATCAACGAAATAGTATGAGTGTTATTTAATAATGAACACTATTATATATGTGTTTGTTTACGTAAATGCAGTTGGTAAACCATGGGATTCCTGATGGAGTGATCGGAGGTGCTTTGAGGGGGATAGCCGATTTCTTCGAGCAAACGACGGTGGAAGAGAAGAGCAAGTACAAGAAAGGTGATCCCAGGGCTAGGATTCTTTGGGATGTCAGGTGTCACGCCGGGGAGAATAGGGAACATCTCAAGCTCCTTGCTCGTCCGACATTCCATTGCCCTCCTAACCCACCTTCCTTTCGGTACGTAACAACAAATTAAATGAGTCAAGTTATACCTCATTCGAGCTCGATTTATTTACTGAAAAATCGTACTAGAAGTTATACCATACAAATCAATAGTAGGATAGTTTATACTGAAACTGTAGTTCAACCGTTTCACAGAGAGGCATTGAGAGAATACGAGAGGAGATTCCACGAAGTGAAGATGGGATTAGCAAGGGCTATGTCCTTAATCTTGGGACATGAAGAGTCCTACATTGAGAAAGCTTTCGATCTAGAGTCAGGCTTAGATGTGGCTGCCATGAATCGTTACCCACCAAACTTCCAATCGAAGGGCACCTTGGGACTGGCTGAGCACACCGACCCTGGTTTCATCATCTCCCTCATCCAAGATACGGATGGCGGCCTTCAAATCCTAACCCATCAAGGACAGTGGATCGACGTCCACATCCCTCCCAATGCCATCTTAATTCAACTCGGGGATCAATTGGAGGTACATATTTATATGATCGATCACCAATTAGTTTTGTGCAAGTATCGTATGAAGTTGGTAATTCGTATTATGTATATCAATATAGGTCTTAACCAATGGCAAGTACAAGAGTCACATCCATCGCGTGCTGGTGGGTGACTACAGGACGAGGAGGATCTCGCTGGGCATACTCCATGGGCCATTCGTAGAACAATTTGTAGCTCCGACATCGGAATTCATGGACGACGCTGGCTCGACAGCTTATCGTGGAATGACCTACTCAGATGCTCTGCAAGCCAACGGTCGTTACGAAATTGAAGTTCAGTCATGCATCGAACAACTTAGAATTCTACCTCTATAATTGATTTATGGGATATACATATCATCATATATATGGTATGGATGGCGTATCTTGTTGAGTTGTGTGGTACAACACTGCTGACACAAAGTAGATATTCCAATGTACGTCAAATTTGAACGAGTGTTTTTGTTGTGTTTTGCTCCTCCATCCGGCCACATATTTATAATGACCCAACACCGTTTTATAACACAACATTTGTAAAAAAAACATGACTATATTTTTCGTCTAAAGTTCGACAATTTGTAGTAAATTTTTGGTTGAGACATCCTTACTAAGGAACCAAACTAACACTACAAAAAAAAGACCTTATCCCAAGGGTTCTATAGCAAGGGTTTTGCAACCCTTACTAATTTTTACGGAATATTTTATAGCAACCCTTCCTTCCAAGGGTTCTAGAACCCTTGTTAACTATTAAACCAAATTTCAGCTGAGCTGAAGCTCCTTTCTCAATACAAGAAAACCTCTATTTTCCCTTTTACATTTTCGATGGCGACTCTTCTTTCAAGGGTTCCGAGCCCTTGCTAAGACTTAATTAAACTAAATTTCAGCCCCTATTCCACTTCTCGATCAGAAAACCCCTGTTTCCCCTTTAATTTTTTTTTGCATCTATTCAAAGTTTCAAACAAAAACAAAATGACACCCAAAGTTATCCAAAGAAAAAAAAATCCGATCTCCCTCCTCACTCATCCCGACTGAAGGGCGATTCCGATCTCCCTCGCTCTCTCCGGTTGAAAAGGCGATTCTCCGATCTTCATCGCTCACTCCGGCGTCGATTCTTCAATCTTCCTCGCTCACTCCGCCCGTCAGTTCTTCGATCTTCCTCGCTCGATTAGGTTGACAGGCGATTGTCCGATATGCTCGCTCCGGCTGAAAGGTGATATTCTTCCTTGTCTCCCTCTCTCTCTCTTTCTCTTTCTCTCTCTCGCTGGCTTGCTCTCTACTTTCCTCGCTTGCGCTCTCTCTCTCGCGCGAGCGAGCTCATGCTGGTTAGGTTACAGATCGAATTTCTTAGGGTTTGTAGCTCTTAGCTCCAATTTTGAGTGAGGCTTCCTTTTTAGCTAGTGTGGCTGGATTTTGAGTGAGGATGATGCATTCATGGAGACCATATGAATGGATGCTCGTGTACTCTCGTTTTTGTTATTATCTCACTCTACTGTGTGTCATGAATTTGAGAAGATATGACCATTCATATAAATGGACGTTTCTATCGGTGCAAGCCTCACTAGATGCATGATTCAAAGAACATCAATTGCATCATTGTGCAGAATGATTCAAAGGAAGAAACAACAACCCGAACTCTGATTTGTAGTATAAACCAACTAAGAGCTTATTGTTGAATTTCTTCTTTACCTTGCATACGTTCAGTGCATACAGATAGTTCTTAACATATTAATCATTGAATTCAGCTGTATACTGCAAATAAGAATACATCTCACTGACACCTTACTTTCCATTCTCATTGACCTGTTCATGATCATTTCTTTCTTCCGGGATGTTGATTCTATAAGATATTCTGGGAGAACTCACTTTATGCGACTTCAAAGCAGTAAGTTAACTTTAACTAGAGTTATAGTGATTCTATAGAACCTTATGAATCCACGAACTTGATTTTCCATCAAAATGAGATCTCTTACTTGAAATTATTCTTTCTTATGCAGATGACTTGATTCGATTTGGAGGTACATGTTGTGTGTATCTCTTTTCCTTCCTCCCCCCTAATAATAATATGAACGAGTTTTCATTTGTGTTTTGTGTTGGTATGTTTGTTTGGTCACCATAATTATACAGTTTTGGTTGATGTAGTTGGATGGTGGAGGAGTTGCCAGCAGAGGCCTCCGCGAACTAATACCGTTCATAGCAAGACAACAGTAGTTGTTGGGCTGGATGCAATTTTCCTGGAGGTACCCTTAAATTTTAACTAGCCGAGACACTCATGTTGGACCATACTATGCAATTCTACCTCTTCAAAGTGGAAATTTGACAAATTTCATTAGAGTTATGTACTAAAAGCTTCCGAGAGCTTTCTTATCGGCTTCTAGGTGCATGATGATCCAAGGAATGTGGTGGATGGTTCAACATAGTGGGTATGCACGCTTCTGAATGATTTTCTTCGTGAAGTGCCTGAAATAACGTTCTGGTAGTAGGTTTCTTGATAGAATCTGACTTGATGATTGTAGCCTCTACGGTACTTGGAGGAACTGCTGGAAGAGCTGCTGGCAGTAGCTGTGAGCTGGCCATAGGATATGTCTATATTTGCAGCGCCGTTACGCTAGCACTGGTTTTGGACATTTTCTACTTTCACAGCAAAGATGAGAACTGCTCTGTATTGCGGGGAAGGGGGAACAAAAGGGTTGTTCAAATCCTACAAGAACCTTCACTTCTCTTGAGCTGGCCATTTTGTAAGTGCCTGTTTTAGCCTTCCATTATTATGTTATGAGAACAGAGGGAGACAAAGATGTCTCCATGGGTTGCTTAATTGTGTTGTTTCAATGTGTTTTGGTGTTGGTTGGAGTACTGCAGATGAGAGTACTGGTTATATATTACCAAACAAAGTTCTACTTGAGATCGGTATTGACATACTGCTTTCTTACTATTTTCAACGTTCCCTATTCTGTTTTGTGGTTTAATTTAATGGCATAGATTGACGTGTAATGGTTTTCATCTTTGGAAAATGAAAAAGCCAAGCAGATGCCTCTAACAACTGGCAAGTTGCATCTTGTACTAAAACTGAAGCACCAATATATTGAACTGGCAAGTTGCAAAATGTTGCTGCTTTTGAAGCTGTTGCGCAGCAATTAAAGGAATTGGCCATGGAAATGGTAAGACTTACTTTTCACTCTAACTGGGAAGCTTTGATAGCTACCGCATTACTGTTATGACAATAACTTCTTTATTTATGTTTGCTCTCTGTGTTGAAAGGAGCTCTGTCTTGCTGCAACAATCTAGTGGAAGTGTATGCATGATTGGAACATGAGGCTTTTATACGATTGGACCTTAATTTTGTTATAATATTCTAAATTTGTCTTTCTGCCGCTGTTTTCATAACTAAATCCGATGTGACTGAATTCGATGTGACAGATGGTTTCAAGTTCAAGGAATTTAAGAAATTTGAGAATTGTGACTGAATCCGATGTGCAAGATGGTTTTCAACAAGGACATCTATCCTCTCAACATGATGAAGGGTCTACTAACAGGATAGGTACATTGGTAGTTTTGTTGCTTCCTTTTTACTTTCTTTACTTTCTATCAAGACATGTCCTTTTCTTGCCTTGCCATCCTCATCAAATGATCCCCTGTTAAAGTGGTAGTTTTATGATATCACTACTCATATCCTATTAAGAATAAAACCAATGAGGAAATAAACTATGAAACAAGACTGCAAGTGTATTTATGGTATTGATTTTTGTGTTTATTGTCTGGGTGGAACCTAAAACTGGATGGAGGTTTCTTGAAATGTGTTTAGTAACAAAACAAGGGTATTTATTGGTATCCTTTATGATTAAGGAAGCTTTGTTCTTCGGGTTAGGCTATGCCACAGTGCTTAAATCACTTAGCATTCATATGCTACAGCAAGAACAACTGGAACTTATGTGTTCATGGTAATTTTGGTGATGGAAATTATGTGTTCCTGGCTGTTTTTTTGTTTCATGCTGCTGCCACTTCATAATTGTTGTTGTTGCACTTGATAATTAAATTTGTTTCTTTATGTTTTTATTTTATTTTATGATCAGGGTGCCACTAGTGCTCTTGCTCCATCAATGGGATCTTGAGCTTCTTGATCAAATGGTATGAGGAAGCATTTTGGAAATGATCTACTCATGTAGCTTTGAATTGGGTTCTTTTGAGTATGTTTGAATGTTTATGGTGATTAGTGTTTAGTCATGTAAAGAACACCATTTTGGATTATGAATTATATTATGTTATGATTCAGGATATGAAGAGTATATGGTATGTTATGAATTTTAGTAACAAACTTGGTTCTGGATTAGTTTTTAATGATCAGGGTATTTGCAACCAAGCTATTGTCACTAATCATGTCGCCTCTTTTTAGTGACGAATTTTAGCGACCATTTTGATTTCGACAAAGAAAAAGTTTTTCCAGCTCTAGTCACAAAATGTTAACCCTTGAAAGTAGCATATCCTCGACAATTTCACATAAATTTACATAGGCATGTAGCAAGGGTTCAAACCTTTGCTAGCGGTAGGAACGAATTATCCAAGGGTTTTAACCGTTGTTACGAGCAAGTCTTGCTTGAATTTTTCACATACGTGTAGCAAGGTTTTAAACCCTTGCTATAACCCTTGTAGGGGACTTGCACCAAGGGTCGCTGATAACCCTTGCTACATGTAGCAGGGGCAGCTTTGCCAAGGGTCCATCCAAGGGTTGGCCCAACCCTTGCTACATTCTATAGCAGGGGTTAAAACCCTTGCTATGGATGAAAATAACCCTTGGCATAGACCTATTTTTTTGTAGTGTAAGACTAACCTGCAATCCTTGAGAATCTTTAAGAGAATGCATATTAAGTTTTTGTCAATGTCTTAAATTGAAGGTTGAGATATTTAGAAAAGAGTCAATATAGGATTTTTTTTTCTTTTACGAACGATAAATGTTTAGATTACGAGTAATTGATTCTTTACTCATCTTCAACTATTTATTAGAGAAATCTTGCCCAGCTTCTTTAGCCCTAAACTAAAATACTTTATGTGGCCATTTGGTTCTATGAAAATAAATAGAAGTTTTTTTTATAAGATTTAGAATCATCGACTAAAAGTAGAGGTTGTGAATTATAAGTTAAGAAATCAACTAAATTTTAATTTTGGATAAATATGTTCACCACAAGATTGAGTACATTGAACACCTTGACTTCAAAATACTAGGAAGGAAAACAAGTTTTTGATCAATAGTTTGATTCGCGAACATAATAACATCACGTAGGATACAAACTAAACAAAACATAGGTATGTTATTGGGGAGGGGGGAGAACGCTTGACCTGTTATAACATATATGTTGGTTGAAATTCTTTCATCAATAATATCAATGATTTTTAGATTAAGAACCAACAATCATAGAAGACAAATTATATTTAATTCTCTTTCTTTATGTTTTAACCTAAAGTTCAAGTGATTCAAACGCGAAAATTAGACACATATTAGATGAGGAAATAAAGTTTTAACTTGATAAATACCTATACACATATGAATGTGCGATAATATTATTCGACAAAGAAATATAATTTATTAACGGAGAATAAAAAAACGTATCAATTTAATCACTTGCCAATTCATTTTAATAACATATTACTTATAAAATAAGTTTAGTTTAGTAAAATTATTATTTTTCGTTGGGTCATTATAATTATTATATGGTTTCACGTCTAACGATGGTTTTGCTTCTTTTATATTATAATAATTAGACTTAAGCTCTAATTGCTAAAAAAACGTTTAACCACAATGCATCTCATCCATCATAATTGTATATGTTTGGTAACTATATTAATATGTGTGATACTGATAAAGAAACACGTTTCAGGGGTCGAGACGTAATCTAGTTAATGAGAAAGAAATTATTATTTTTCAAAATGATAAGAAATTATCTCTATATTAATGTGATATAGTAAACAATGTAAGTAACACATTAGCTTTAACAGAACTAATTAATATATATATATATATATATATATATATGGTGACTTCTACGGTGCCCAGGGCAAAAGCCGGGTACGGGTACCTTGGCCGATCTTAACCGTTCGTTTTCAATCTCCACGGCTCACATTTGTTAAACCTAACTGCGCCACTAAGTAACTAAACAAATTACAAAAAGCCTCCTCCGCGTTAAGTTTGTTTTCATCCTAGTCCAACTAACTGCCCCCATTAAATTAAATGGATTAAGACCCAAACCCAATTGGGTAGACCCACTGCCGCCCAAACCAATTTCCAGTCTCCCTAACCAATTACACGATCCCTCTCTCGTCTTGGAGGGACGCCCCTTCACAGTTCCAAGAGAAGCTCCCCATCCACATTCGACGTAGATTGAATTTCCCAAAAAAAATTTGTCTTGTTTCTTCTTCGCCATTGTATTTCCCCTCGCCTATCTCTTTCTAACACGATTACGCCGACCATGTCTATTATTGTGTTCATCGAACTTTTCATTTGCAAAAGAACCCTTGAAAGAGGTTTGCTAACCCTAGGGTTCATGTCCCTAGTGCTTTGTCATCTTGTCTTAGCGTTATTGTGATTTTCTCGAGCCTTATATCTCTCGGTGAAATTTATTTTTCCTGATATGTAGTGTTCGTCTCGCCCAGAGGATTGAGGAAGAAGATGAAGAACACATAATTTGATTCGAATCGGATGGAGAGGTCTCCTTAGTTTGTGTTTATGTATTAACGGTGCGTTTAGGACTAATTCTAGTTGGACTGGGTCTGATCATTGATTTTTGCAGGCTTTTAAATAACATTCAAACGTGGGCTTGTACATTACCCATGCAATATTCAAAAGTGGGCCTGGAACGTGCGAGCCCATTAGTTTTCTCCTGCGGTATCAGCGCCAACCCTAGTTTAACTAGCTTTAGTTACCCTAGTTTAACCTACACGAGTTAACATCATCATTACTACATATCTTCCCAAATCTTCTAACTCTTGACATTCCAGACTCAACCGTCTCCATCACACGTCTCCACACTCAACCCCCACGATCACTTTTTCTTACACCTACAATCTCTCTTTCCCTACAATCTCTCTTTCCTCCATCTTCACCTTCCCTTGTTCCTTCTTCCTCTGACTCCATGGCAAACATGGGCATTCTAACTCTATCAAACCACGACTGCCGATCCACCACAAGTCTCGCGGACTATCTTTCATTCACGAGCAAGACATCTATTGTGGTCGAGTACGAGTTCATCCACCTGTCCCCTTTCCCTCAAGAAGTGAAGCAGTTAATTAAAAATCTTGGCTGGGAAAAGTTCTTCGATCTCCGGAGTCGAGGAAGCACCAGTTACTGCCAGCATGTGGTGAGGAAGTTCTACCACAATTTAGAGCTGTCTGGTCCCTCCGATTCTCATCTCGTGTCGGTCTTCCTGGGTTATAGAGCCTGCTTCCAGCCTCATCAGTTTGCTGAGATCCTCGATCTCCCCGCCGCAGGACACCACATTGATAGTAGAAGCGATCTTCGGCGGCTGTACGATTTTGATTTTGAAGTTGAACTGGGGAAACTGACGAATGGGCGCATCCAGGCTTCTTTCCTCCCAGATCCTCTTCGATTCCTCCATTGGATGATCGTCAACTGCTTCATGCCAAGGTACAGTGGTCATTCGATAATTCGTAGACTTGACCTGTTTATCCTTGTGCAAGCTCAAAGAGGTGTTCCTCTTAACCTCGCATCTCTCATGTGCGTGAACATGGTTGAGGCTGCTCCTAGAGGGGAAAACTGGTACACTGCCTTTCCATATGCCACCTTCTTGACCACCTTTCTTGGAAGGGTTGGGATGGATATGGGGGTTTATGCTAGGGAGGACCATTCCGCCTATTTGCCAGTCTACCGTATCGTCGAAGTGACTAATACTTTTTATGACCTTCGGCATACGGAGCATGAAGAGACCCCTGAGGCATCCTCAAGCAAACGTCCTCGGCTTACATGAGAGTCGATTGATGCAGGGCGGGGTGGAGCAGTGCAGGGCGGGGTGGAGCAGTGAAGGGGCCAGCATTGGATGTGTTTTGTTAAGAAGTTTACTGTAAGGCTTCGTTGTTGTTTTTTTTCCAGTCTTTTTCTCCAGCACTCAAAACTGTCGGGTACTGAGGGGAGCCAGTACATCATCTGACTAGGAAAGTCTCCCATTTTTTTAATTATCCAGACAAATATTTTTCTATGCATGCAGTATTTTGTGAATTTGCCATGGCTAATTTCCCTAAGACAGGTGACGAGATGCAGTAATGGTCATCCCTAAGCAAGGAGGTGCAATTGCATCCTACACTTGCTATGATGTGAGAAGCTATTGCAAGGGTGCAAATTTGGTTGCAATTGAAATTGGCCCACGAGTGGGGACTATTGATGAAATTGCAATGTTTTCTCAAAATTATAGAAGTGGAAGTAGGGACTACCTATGAAATCGCAAATGAATTTCATTGGGGGAGATTTTAATCCGCTTTTGTTCTAAGCAGTTCCAATTAGGTTGATTATAATGATTTTTTATCTATGGTGATTTTTCCCCCTTTTTC